TGTATATGCCTGTCTTCTTTGTTAAGACATTTCCTTATTATTTTATAACCATGCCAAATTCTTCTTGTCATGGATCATGTGTAAAGTGGAACTAATGGTATTAGTACTTGGTATTAATCAAGTCAGTCAATCTGTTACATGTTTCTTATTCACTGTACCCGAGTTTCAGGGTGTCTTTAGAGTAATCCTGTCAAGAGTGGCCAAATGGCACTGAAGGAGGGCATTCTTACACCATTTGAATACCAGCCAAAGATTGCTCACTGGCTTCACTGTTCTCATGCTTGTGTACCGAGATTCGTACAGTTCAGGGTTCACTTCCTTTTGATATATGTGCTAAGGACACAGTATCTTTATCTAAATCTGGTCATACATAGAAGACAGAGAAGTTCATTCATACTGTCTGTGTTTACCTTCATATGTGTGAGTGGATGGATGGATGGATGGGTGCAGAGGTGCATGAATGGATGGATAAAGAGATAGAAACAATTATCACATTTTCTTCCTTAACTCTCCAAAGTATCTTTAAATGTATATGCAAGTAGCTACAATGGAAAGCAGGACGTGGGTGGTGCTGCAGGTTAAGCCGCAAAGCCTCTGGGCTGCAAGGTCAAAAGACCAGCAGTTTGAATCCATGCAACTGAGTGAGCTCCCATCGTTTGTCCCAGCTCCTGCCAACCCAGCAGTTCGAAAACATGTAAAAATTGTGAGTAGATAAATAGGTACCACCTCAGTGGGCAGGTAACGGCGTTCCGTGTCTAGTCGTGCTGGCCATGTGACCATGGAAATTGTCTACGGACAAACGCTGCCTCTATAGCCTGGAAACGAGGATGAGCACTGCGCCCTAGAGTCGGACATGACTGGACAATTTGTCAAGGGGAACCTTTACCTTTTTACCTTACAATGGAAAGCACACTGTAGAACAATACTGAAAAAGAGGGAGGAAAAGGAAAAGAGTGAAATGTGATTTTGGAACAAGAACATTTCATTTGGTCCACACACCAACTCTGAACAATATTGACTGTAGGCTGCAAAAGAGTTCACAACATTGCTAATCTTTCAAAAGTCTGATATCATTTCAAGGACATGTTTTATGGCAGTCATCAGTGACCTTGTACCCTCTTCCCACCCATGGTGGCTGGGGATGATGGGAGATGTGGTCCAACACATTTGGAAAGCATAGTGTTGTAGAAAGTTGTTGCCCAGTGTCTTGATTTTCCTTTGTTTGTTGCTTTTGCTCGACACTTCTTAAATATGAGAACAATTTGCTGTTTTTATTGACTGATTGAATTTTATATTTTGATTGCAATGTGCTTTATTTGTTTGTTTTATTTAAAATATTTTTACCCTGCCTTTCTCCTTAAAAGATCCAAAGGCAGCTTACAACATTAAAGGGCAATATTTAAAAGCTAAAAACAATACATATACAAATATAAAAAAAGAATTAAAGAAGTATCATATTAAAACAGTAAATAAAATCAATATTAAAATACATTTAAAAGCAATAGGGCACAACAATCCAATATGAAAAAACCTCTCACAAATTGTCTGTCACTAAGAAAAAGTTTGTCTGAAGATAAAGGTCTTTGCCTGCTTGCAGAAGGACAGCAAATATGGGGCCAGCCTGGCTTCCCATGGGAGGCAATTCCAGTCTGGGAGCGGCAACAGAGAAGGTCCTCTCCCATGTCCCCACCAAGCATGCTTGTGAGGGTGGTGGAACTGAGAGAAAAGCCTCCCCTGCTCTTACTGTAGACTGTCCAGAGAACTCTGGTGAGCAGATATTCTGAAAATGCAGCAAAAGCAAGATCCTGCTTCATCAACACCTTTTCAAAACAGCAGTTAGAGAGAAAACCAAGAGACAGACAATGCAATGAGCCAGTTCCAAAACTGTTGATACCGGTTTTTCTCTGGTTGTTGATATCTATATTTCTCTGTGAGTGCAATTAATTATCACAGCATATATCACATAAATTGCTAGCACCAGTTGGTCAATCATAACAGCAATTAAACCTGTATATCTGCTTCCTGTACATCTCAAGAAACTGATTTTAAGTCTGTCTTCTGCTATTGCAGAACTGAATTTTAAAAAGGAAACCAAGAAACAAGATTTTTATGAGGATTCTTGTTTAATGCAGTAAATTAAAATCACCATGAGTTGACATTTCTGTGAGATTCTGGCCTGACAAACCTGACTTGCCAATGTTTCACCATCTGAAAGCTCTCTCCAGTATCATATCCTGGAAAGTTGTCACAAACCAGTTTTAGTTGGGACATGGTGAGATGGGAGCATAGTGCAAAGACTACTTCCTCCTGCCAGCCAGAAGAGTCATTGTGACTGCACGGCATTAAAACATGACTTTAAAAACTGACTTCTCCATTTGGAACATCTCCTCCTTTGTTACACAAAGGACTTGGGAATTCTGTTCTTACACAATTGTTATTTCACCCGTGCTACCACCTCCTGTCTTAAACCTATCACATTTGCAGCCATATGATGCTTGCTCCCCGTACAATGGCCATTCAAATATGCTCATGAGTAGCAGATTTCAAAGAGGTAGCCATTTTAGAGTGTGACTACATGGTCAAATCACGGGATTCACTCCATTTATAAAACAGGTGAATTCAAAGTATTTTTAATGATTGCCTGATGCACAGGCTTATTCAAATAATTGCAGCTCTCTTTCTTCCTCTGGTTTTGGGGAGTTTCTACTTTTTCATGCTAGAACATTTTGAATAGCCTTTTTCCCTTGCAGTAGTTGTGCTGTATTCTTGCAAAGATGGAGGGGGACATGTTTGTAGGTGGTGTTTCAATGATGTAGATAGTTGGGGTGTGATGTTCAGGCCTGGAGGGGTATGCAAAAGTAAAGTGCCATTATTTTAATGTGGGGGATCAGTGCTAGCCATGAATCCTGTCAGACTGTGTGAGAAGGCCATTTTGTTGTGAAGCAAAAGCTAAGTGCTGTTAATTACTTAACTGATAGCTCTGAAAGTGTCATAAAAATCAGCTTCTTCTTTCCATCCATTACTCTTTTCCTTTACTTTCAATAAATGCATGCAGGAATTACTTCATCTCTGTTCACATATGGTTTTAAGCTACTGGCATAATAAACTATAACCAGAGATGAAGTAATTCTGCATGTGTTATTTGAAAGTAAGGGAACAAATTAGCGGATGGGAAGAAAAAGATGGTGATCTCTGTTATGGAATCATTTTGACATGTGAACTATATGTATTTTGCAAAATTACTGTTCAAGCTTTTCATGTTCTCTACTATAGAGAGTTAAGTAACTTTCCATGTTATTTTTTTATAGAAAGTTTTCATGAATGTACTAGTCTAAAGCTTTAAATGAGAAAACAGCTTCATGGTGAACTATAAAAAGGATCAGTAGAAAGAGAACCAGAGGAAGAAAGGATTGGCAGAGACAGGACCAGAGGAAGGAAGGAAAGAAAGAGGGCTGTGGCTGGAATGGAACTCGTGTCACATCCAGTATGAACGACAAATTCCTGAATAATTTTCTCCAGTCCTCTGTGAGCACTGATTCCGATTTCCAACACAATAAGGGCTGCAAATCAAATAACAGCTAAGCCAAATTGCTACAATTTTCATTTCCAATAAAGTTGCATCCTTGTCTGCTGCAGCTTGTATAACAAAATAAAAATAGAACTATCATAGCAACATAAAAGCAGAAGATTTGCCTCAGGCTGAGCTTTCATAAATTGTAATTCAGTTCCTCAGACAAACAGAGTGAAATATTTAACTGAAAGTTTGTCTGCAAGCTGGCATTTTGCGTGAGGACCCGGTGAAGGGGAAGAGTAGCAAGGCAGATGAAATTTGTAAGTAACAACAGCATTATGAACATGTACTTTTAAAAAAAGTTTTGTTTATTTATTTATTTAAACATTTATAGCCCATAGGATCTCAGGATGTGTTACACAATTGTTTAAAACAGTTTTAAAACATAAGATATTTAAAACAATTTAAAATCAAACAACCCAAAATGAAAACGATTAAAAGACATAGAACTAAAATCTGTGCAGGCCACAGATTTTTAACCCCTAAAGGCTATAATCAATAAGTATGTATTGACTTGGCACCAAATTGTCTTGGGAGGGTGTGTCAATGAGAGAGGAGCAGCTTAACAGAAACTGCAAGGTGCACAGCCCTACATGATGGTGAAGGTGTGGTGGACAAGCCCAACGTATGGCACCCTCACCTAAGCAGAAGTAGCACGAGACTAGTATTGAACAAAAGTAGGTGGCAGCAGCAATATTGTTGGCAAGGAAAGTCATGCACTGATCAACCGCTGTAGTCCAAAAGGTGGTAGTGGGGAAAAGAAAGGTTACTATTCTGACACAACAAAGTATATTGATTGGTAGAAATTAGGTTTGGGGAAAGTGTGATAACAAAGAGTGATATGGGCAAAGGATGGATGGGTGAAATAAAAGGAGGAAGGTGAACTATGGATAGGGGGAAATAGGCAAAAGGGGAAGGTAATAAGAGTTGGGAACAAAATGTTGGGAGACAATTCAAGGCATGTGTGAACAGGGTGTACCAGTATATTCCAGGACATCCAACAACAATTGTCCTATGCATCTGGATACAAATACTGGGACAATCAATTCAAAACCCGTTAAAATCAGTTGCTGTAGCAAAAGTAACAAGCCAAAAATGACCTCTAAGCCTAAGGTGGAGACAAGGTTGCAGTACAACGTCCCACCTGGAAATTATCTTTCAACCTTCCTTGATCTTTGCATTTAGGGGCATCCAAATCTTTTGACCAAGAAGAATGGACTGCACTATGTGCAACTCATGAGGATGTGATTTTCAATTATTACAACATACTTTAACCACAGACTTACAGGAAATGCTGTTTTGACACCTCTTTTGTTTCTTTAGGGGTGGGACTGTGTATAAATGAACCAGACAAAGTGAGCTAGGACATATTCTAGGCAAAGGTTTGTCTTGTCAAGAATAAGAGGGCTCTACAGCACCTGCACTCAATATGGCCCAGTCATTCATTTGGGCAGGTAAGGTTGGATTTACCACCATGTATTAGATTTTGATTAATTCCTTTGCTAAATAGTATTTAAATGTGCTAGTGTACTCTTTACTTTTCTTGTTTGAATGTAGCAAGAAGAGATCCAGTTTCATCAGCAATACAAACCAAAATTTTAAGAAAATTGTGTTGTCAAGTCTGCTTAGTCTGAACACATTTGGAGTATTAGACAAGTGTTTCTGCAAGACGCTAGAGCAGAAACTGTTTTGGCAGCCTGGTTGCTAATTTGTATGCCTCATAATGTCCCAAATCATGTGTGGTTACAGGGCATTGTGAGAGGGGGGAAATTATGATCTATCACATATGAATAATGGTGAATATTTGAAGAAAATTCTGTAAAGTGACCTTCTTTTACCAGGATAGTGAAAGTAAAAAAAAAAAAAAAAAGAATGACTTTTGAAAAATTGTGGGCTTAGCTCTAGAATTTCAATTGTTCTGTTTTGGGATTCAGGGAAAAAACATATACTGTACCTGTTGGTATTCCCCATTTCATGCATCTATTAAAGGTGGAAGCTATTTCCTCCTTTATCTATGGATCACACTGGAAAAGAAAAAGATGTTCTTTAAGTTCTCTTGGTGACCTAGCAAGGAACTGTGGCAAATAATGAAAAGGGAATCAATTTCCTTCATTTCACCATTATAACTTCTGAATCCTAGAGCAGAACTTTAAAACATTATGTTTTTGGACCATGAATGCTATAATCTCCCAGCCAGTATGGTTGCCTCCTGAATCCTAGAGCAGAACTTTAAAACATTACGTTTTTGGACCATGAATCCTATAATCTCCCAGCCAGTATGGTTGTCTCCTAGTTATGCTGGCTGGAGGACTCTAGAAGCTTAGTCCAAAAAAAAAAAAAAGCTTTTCTGTCCTCTGGATCAAAGCTTGCTCCTTCAGAAACCATCGTGACCTTTTATAATAGCTGCCTATGTTTCAATCTTTGTGTGTCACTATGGGCACCCCCTCTACTCATGCCAAAGGCTGCCTCTGTTCATACCTCCAAGCACCAAGTTGTTTTGACTCCTGCTGGTGTTTATGAGCTCCTTTTGAACATCAGCTCTAAACAATACATTTTTATGATGGCTTATGACAGTTATAGCTTAAACAAATGCTACCTACTACCTAGAACTTTCCCTGTGCATGCACACAGCTGCTCCCACAGAGTCCTTCCAAAGCCTTACAGGCACTCAACCAAACTAAGGAAGCCCAAGTAAACCAGCAGTTGTCAATCCAGAAACAACAGCTCCTGAGATTCCCCTTCCTTCCAGAACTAACACCAGCCCAGCAAGGAAAACGACATCTTAAATGTTACTAATTCTTGGAAGGTATACAGTAGCAAATCCGAGTGGGCAGACATTAAATTTATGAACACGCTGTTCTCAACCAACTTTGAGAACACATGAAAGTGGACTATTTTAATTTTTATTGCCAAGAGGAAAAAGAAAATCCAGTTTACAAAATAGAAATAAGCCTTTTAGCTCAGTAAGCCCATTCCAATAAATATGTGAAGTCCAAATTGCAATGTTTGCAAGTGAAGAACAGGGAGAAAGAACACCCACAGATGGGGAGAAGAAAGCTAGCCAGCCTACTCTGCTTACTTAATATAGGCATAGATCTCTGAGCTCATGCAGAGTGCCATCTTCAGCAATGCACTGAAACCTCAAGGTATATGCTCCCAATTTGTTCTAGGGCTTAGCCATTTTTATACATTTTTTTCCAGAACAGCTAAACCCACATATCTCACATTTATTCTGCATTTTCTAATATTTTACAATGGGTTAAGTACCCTTGCTGGACTATTTTATAACTTTTTCAAAATCTGAGTACATGACTGGACCTATGATAACACAACACATTTAATGTTCAAATTGCTAATTAATCTTGTGCTTGCTTGAAACTGACATTTTAATTATTAGGATATTGTCTTGTGTTTATGTTTTATTCTATAAAACACTGACTTCAGGTAAGAAAAGTAGTCAAGATAATGAGAATGTTATTCAAGATTGACACTATTGAAGCATCAATTGATTGGAAGGATTACATATCCAGCTAACTTCTGTTTTCATTTCGGTTTAGGTTTGGTCATCTTGCTGTTTCTTCATAGCAGTAAGTAAAGCAAAATTCCACAGATTCTCATGTCCATTCCAAAAGCAAAGATAAAAAGCCAGACTAAAAATCAAACTAGATAGCAATACCCTTGCATTGAATCTGTTTTTCCTCACACAATCAGATTTCCCCCATCTAGACACACTATCTGCAGCAGCAAACTAACCATTGAAACCTATATTTACCTTCCCAATGATGAATTACAAGAGAAATTGCACTAAATGCAGTATACCAAGAAAATGAGGCACTCTGAGAAATAGAAGTTCTTCACCACCAGAATGAGCATTTTCTAGTGATGTGCTAAATGTCTAGTTCAACCCTCAGGCTTCAGTTTGTAAGACACTAATACATTTTCTTTTTTAGAAAAGTATATACGAGTAAAAGCATCAGGAGCTGCAATGTTTGGGCCACTTCTAGAATTCCAGGATTCTGGCAGTGCCTGTAACTGATGCTTTCCTGAGGCTTCATTTAAAAAACTTATTCTGGATTTGGGAGCATTCTGAGATATGGAAAGGATAGCTAGACTCATTTTAATTTCTCAGAATACTCCCAGACCAAAGTTGCTGTAGTACATTAGGGAAAAACTATAGGATAAGCCAGACCCAGCTGCCCATGGTCCTCTGATCACTACCTCCACATCAAGGTGCACATGTCAGGATCTGCCGGCCGAGGATGAGATCTTCAGAAGGCACTTTGCCTCAAATCTAGAGTCAGCCCTGGAGTTGGGGCAGCAATGACTCTACATAAACACATAAACAGTGACAAAAGAGAAAATTTCAAATTCATTTCAGTTTCTGGTCACCCCTTGATCAGGTACAAGAAGCCAAAACTGATGAGACTCAAGGGGGCTAGTGTCACAAGATCAGTGATGGTGTGAAGAATCTTTTACATGCAGCCTTTTTCTCATTTCTACAGGTTCTTCTTTCAAACTGGTCTGCTATTTCACCAACTGGGCTCAGTACAGGCCAGAGAAGGGACGGTTCCTCCCTGAGAACATTGACCCCAAATTGTGCACTCATCTCATTTATGCATTTGCGGGAATGGATCAGAATAGGATCACCACAATAGAGTGGAATGATGAGAAACTCTACAAGGATTTCAATAATCTCAAACAAAAGTATGGCATATTCTGATATGAAAAGAAGACTTTCGAGAAATGTCTAGAACCTGAGTTTGCACACTGCACTATTGCCTGGTTTTCCAATAGTAGGCATATGGACATCAGAACAGTGTTTAGTTAATGGGTTCTGAAGGACATTAATTGTAATGGTTGTATTCTACAGCATCCTGTGTTTTGAAGTTTGATGAGATAATTAGAATTCTTTGTTAGAAGGATCTAATATGAATTTTATCCTGTGTTTTGAAGTTTGATGAGATAATAAGAATTCTTTGTTAGAGGGATCTAATGCCTGTTACAGAGAATTCAAAGCACCAAACTATAAATCCCAGGATTCCGTAGGGTGAAACCACGGTACTTAAAGTGGTATCAAGATGATATTGTAGTGTGGTGTAGATGTAGATGGACTTGTGGGTCATCCAACTCCCAGATGTAATGCATTTTATTCAATATATTAGCATTGGAGCTATCACTTCTGCTAATCAAAGTGAGGTGATTGCTTCAAGCAACTTACGTTGGTTGTCATGGAGTGTTGGGAAATATTCTTTCATTAATTGATTCACACACTTATTGTATTTTATTTCTTTGGGGAGAGGGTGCTTGAGGGATTTTCTGTCTCCACTGACCTGCTTTCATACTATGTACAGTATATTTAAGTTGGAGGTGGTACTATTTGCTGATCCACCCCAGGCAGCAAAATGTCTTGGGCTCCAGATCCTTGTCCCAATCCGGATGAAAACTACATGTGCTTACTTTGGAGCAAAGGGGGGAAACTATTAATATTACATACAGTTTGAGCCTAGGGAGTTTCAGTGACAGAGAGTGGCCCCAGATAACAAACAAAAGGGTGTGCTGGAGATATAATAGGCATTCTTGTTCCTGTAGGCAAAAGCTGTTATTTCAGGATAGCAGCTCCTAGGCTAAAAAACCCTCATCACTTATGTGAAGTGGCCCATAGTGGGAACTTCTACTCAAAAGCAGCATAGGACATTTCCTTTGATTCAGAATGACTTTATAATTCAAATACATTATCATTACTCAAAGTAATGATTGCACGTGGATCAGCTAAGACCACAAACAAGCAGTTAAAAAGGTTAAAATCCCTCCAAGGCAGCTTCTTGGAGGAAAATGTGAACAGAAAGGGATTGAATCTAGTCCTGCTCTCTGTTCTTTCTGAGCACCTGAGCTGGGAGGGAAGGTGCCTTTTAAGCTTTTGGGAAGTATCCCACATGTTGATGGTTTGTAATCATTGCAGCAGGCATCCTATCCCAAATTTGGGGATGACGCCCTCCATGTCCCAGTCTGTGATGTCTGTCTCTCATACTTTGCCCCAGGTTTTGAAATAAAAAAAGGACAGTGCATGTACACTCTTTCCAATCCAACTCCAGCTAAAGACAGAAATCTGCTTGCTGGTAACAATTCTGCATTTGAACCAAGACAAATGAGCATGGCCAACTATGGAAAGACCTATTTGGAAAAAAAAAGAAATTTGTGCTCCAATTCTTTGTGTTTTTTTCCTTTCCTGTCTAGGAATCCAGAACTGAAGACGCTTTTAGCTATTGGTGGATGGAACTTTGGGAGTGCAAAGTAAGACATGATTGTGTGAGTAGGGATTACAAATGACAAGCTTTACCATAACTTCTCTGACAGTGATTTATGTGAAAATTGCAGACTTTTGTTAAAATCCTAGAATTGTAGCCCTCATTCATTGTTAAGCTTCTCATTTTCATTACTACAAACAAATTTTTTAAAATGGCATGGCAAAAAAGTTTTTTTTTAAGTATCATTTGAAAATAAAATCTTAAAGTACTTTATCATTTTCCAGTTATTCTGTTTTTCCCTTCTGTCCTGAGAACAACAGGTTGAGAGAAATCTTAATGCAGAATGGCAATGGGACTGAATTATTGAGAAATATATACATTATCTTTAATCTTCCTTCTGATTATATATTTCTGATATGAACTTCAAGGATCAAGATACCCAGTGATTTTAGTCTTTCAGAGTCATCTTACAAATGTATTAAAGTTGGGATGTTTAACTCTGAAAAGAAAGGATATGTTCTGAGAATTTTCGCACACTATGAATTTTCTCCATTCTCCATTCTTCAACCCCACCTCCATCCATTCTTTTGACAAAAATTGATGCTTTGGTATGTTTTTTTGGAAGCAAGGGACACAATGACGGATGGAGCTGCAGTGTTTCTTTAGTGCAGTGAAAAGCCATATGTAACTTCACAGCAACCCATAGTTCCAGATCTGTTCTATATAAGGTGACCTTGTTGTTTAGCACCAGAAACACTGTACACAGTAGCCATTGTTTTTGTGATCTTAAGAGCCCCCTCTCAGTGCCTCTCATATACTTAAGGTATATGCTTATACCACTGAGACACTATGCCATGTACCTTTTTTAAAACTATAGTATTGTCTTAACAGGTACAGGAATCCCATTTGCTCTTAAAGTGCAGCACTTATGTAGAGGTGCAAAATAGGAGAGAATACACCCATTTTACAATAGCTCTGTTCTTTCTTAGTGAAATGTATCTGTAAGGGAAAGAGAGAGCAACACATACAACAATAAAAAATATAGGGTCAGATAATTGTCTTAGATGTTGTTCATGCAAGGTTACCTGATTAGACTTGCATGGGAGTAAGTAATTCCAGAAACCTACTCTTTTTATTATTTTTTTTATTATAAACTACAACATAAAATACATAAACCATAATACAAATCAATTGTGTCCAGAAGCCTACTCTAAATGTATTAGCTACCAGATAAATACAACTAAGTAGAATATAAAAAGATGCCATGTTTGCTGAGATTTGATTAATGTACATGTTTCACCTGGTTGTAAAATTTGCATTCCAGTGTTTTATTTATGAAAACATAGTACTGTTTGGAAGTGAGATTAAAATTTAGAACTAGGAAAAATTAGGATGAAAATGGACAGAAAATAGGTTGCATGGAGCAAAGTAACCTTACAGGGGAAACAAACAACACCCAGGGCCATGTGGCTTTTTTTCTTGTGTTAGTTAAAAGATTGTGATCATACATTTTTAAAAAATGTGGGATTGCAACAGAATGTCCAGCAACTATTTTAGGACCAAATGAGGGCTCTGTAGGCATGGAATTTTACTGCTGGTGGGACCACCCTGAAAGAGACGCTGTCTTGGCCCCAAAGTTCTTGTTACCTTTCTGGGTTTGATTACTCACATGTTACATCCATAATAGGTTCTCTGCCATGGTAGCTACCCCTGCCAATCGCCAGACATTCATTCAGTCCGTGATGCCATTTCTGCGGAACCACGGGTTCAATGGCCTAGACCTAGATTGGGAATATCCTGGAGCCAGAGGCAGCCCTGCAGCAGATAAAGGACACTTTACATCTTTAGTTCAGGTACAAAAATGTGTGAAGATTTTCCTTTCTTTCTCTTTTCTTTTTTTGCCACAAAATAGAAGCCATGAGTTCAGGTTTCTAGCTATGAGGTTTTGTGTCAATGCCAAACACAGGACAGGACAGGAGGTGGCAAATGAAAACAGCTTCCAGATGAATTATTCAAGAGCATTATTTTCTGGATGAAAGGGTAGAAAGAGGAGGAGCGGGGCCTTGAAAAATAGAAAAGGTGTTGGTGGGATTGGTTAAAGTAAAATACAATTGAGAGGCACATACCAAAAGAAATTGAGAAGGCACAGAACGTTACTGTTTTATATTATCACTTCCAGAATCTACTAACCAACATAACCAGTTCCTATTTAGGTGGTTACATTGACCAAGCTGGCTCAAAGATTATGGGAGTTATAGTCAAAAAAAGTAAGCTTTCTAGAATGGGATAAAGAGGAAAGTATTCACATGATATTTAAGTTGGAGGTGGTACTATTTGCTGATCCATCCCAGGCAGCAAAATGTCTTGGGCTCCAGATCCTTGTCCCAATCCGGATGAAAACTACATGTGCTTACTTTGGAGCAAAGGGGGGAAACTATTAATATTACATACAGTTTGAGCCTAGGGAGTTTCAGTGACAGAGAGTGGCCCCAGATAACAAACAAAAGGGTGTGCTGGAGATATAATAGGCATTCTTGTTCCTGTAGGCAAAAGCTGTTATTTCAGGATAGCAGCTCCTAGGCTAAAAAACCCTCATCACTTATGTGAAGTGGCCCATAGTGGGAACTTCTACTCAAAAGCAGCATAGGACATTCCCTTTGATTCAGAATAGCTTTATAATTCAAATGCATTATCATTACTCAAAGTAATGGTTGCACTTGGATCAGCTAAGACCACAAACAAGCAGTCAAAAAGGTTAAAATCCCTCCAAGGCAGCTTCTTGGAGGAAAATGTGAACAGAAAGGGATTGAATCTAGTCCTGCTCTCTGTTCTTTCTGAGCACCTGAGCTGGGAGGGAAGGTGCCTTTTAAGCTTTTGGGAAGTATCCCACATGTTGATGGTTTGTAATCATTGCAGCAGGGATCCCATCCCAAATTTGGGGATCATGCCCCCCCCATGTCCCAGTCTGTAATGTCTGTCTCACATACTTTGCCCCAGGTTTTGTAATAAAAAAAGGACAGTGCATGCACAGTCTTTACGGTACACTATTTCCAATCCAGCTAAAGACAGAAATCTGCTTGCTGGTAACAATTCTGCATTTGAACCAAGACAAATGAGCATGGCCAACTATGGAAAGACCTATTTGGAAAAAAAAAGAAATTTGTGCTCCAATTCTTTGTGTTTTTTTCCTTTCCTGTCTAGGAATCCAGAACTGAAGACGCTTTTAGCTATTGGTGGATGGAACTTTGGGAGTGCAAAGTAAGACATGATTGTGTGGGTAGGGATTACAAATGACAAGCTTTACCATAACTTCTCTGACAGTGATTTATGTGAAAATTGCAGACTTTTGTTAAAATCCTAGAATTGTAGCCCTCATTCATTGTTAAGCTTCTCATTTTCATTACTACAAACAAATTTTTTAAAATGGCATGGCAAAAAAGTTTTTTTTTAAGTATCATTTGAAAATAAAATCTTAAAGTACTTTATCATTTTCCAGTTATTCTGTTTTTCCCTTCTGTCCTGAGAACAACAGGTTGAGAGAAATCTTAATGCAGAATGGCAATGGGACTGAATTATTGAGAAATATATACATTATCTTTAATCTTCCTTCTGATTATATATTTCTGATATGAACTTCAAGGATCAAGATACCCAGTGATTTTAGTCTTTCAGAGTCATCTTACAAATGTATTAAAGTTGGGATGTTTAACTCTGAAAAGACATGATATGCTCTGAGAATTTTCGCACACTATGAATTTTCTCCATTCTCCATTCTTCAACCCCACCTCCATCCATTCTTTTGACAAAAATTGATGCTTTGGTATGTTTTTTTGGAAGCAAGGGACACAATGACGGATGGAGTTGCAGTGTTTCTCTAGTGCAGTAAAAAGCCATATGAAACTTCACAGCAACCTATAGTTCCAAATCAGTTCTCCATAAAGTGACCTTGTTGATTAGCAGCAGAAATACTGTACACACTAGGCATTGTTTTTGTGATCTTAAGAACCCCCTCTGAGTGCCTCTCATATACTTAAGGTATATGCTTATACCACTGAGACACTATGCCATGTACCTTTTTTAAAACTATAGTATTGTCTTAACAGGTACAGGAATCCCATTCACTCTTAAAGTGCTGCACGTGTGTAGAGGTGCAAAATAGGAGAGAATACACCCATTTTACAATAGCTCTGTTCTTTCTTAGTGAAATGTATCTGTAAGGGAAAGAGAGAGCAACACATACAACAATAAAAAATATAGGGTCAGATAATTGTCTTAGATGTTGTTCATGCAAGGTTACCTGATTAGACTTGCATGGGAGTAAGTAATTCCAGAAACCTACTCTTTTAATTATTATTTTTATTATGAACTACAACATAAAATACATAAACCATAATACAAATCAATTGTGTCCAGAAGCCTACTCTAAATGTATTAGCTACCAGATAAATACAAATAAGTAGAATATAAAAAGATGCCATGTTTGCTGAGATTTGATTAATGTACATGTTTCACCTGGTTGTAAAATTTGCATTCCAGTGTTTTATTTATGAAAACATAGTACTGCTTGGAAGTGAGATTGAAATTTAGAACTAGGAAAAATTAGGATGAAAATGGACAGAAAATAGGTTGCATGGAGCAAAGTAACCTTACAGGGGAAACAAACAACACCCAGGGCCGTGTGGCTTTTTTTTTCTTGTGTTAGTTAAAGATTTTGATCCTACAAAATGTGGGATTGCAACAGAATGTCCAGCAACTATTTTAGGACCAAATGAGGGCTCTGTAGGCATGGAATTTTACTGCTGGTGGGACCACCCTGAAAGAGACGCTGTCTTGGCCCCAAAGTTCTTGTTACCTTTCTGGGTTTGATTACTCACATGTTACATCCATAATAGGTTCTCTGCCATGGTAGCTACCCCTGCCAATCGCCAGACATTCATTCAGTCCGTGATGCCATTTCTGCGGAACCACGGGTTCAATGGCCTAGACCTAGATTGGGAATATCCTGGAGCCAGAGGCAGCCCTGCAGCAGATAAAGGACACTTTACATCTTTAGTTCAGGTACAAAAATGTGTGAAGATTTTCCTTTCTTTCTCTTTTCTTTTTTTGCCACAAAATAGAAGCCATGAGTTCAGGTTTCTAGCTATGAGGTTTTGTGTCAATGCCAAACACAGGACAGGACAGGAGGTGGCAAATGAAAACAGCTTCCAGATGAATTATTCAAGAGCATTATTTTCTGGATGAAAGGGTAGAAAGAGGAGGAGCGGGGCCTTGAAAAATAGAAAAGGTGTTGGTGGGATTGGTTAAAGTAAAATACAATTGAGAGGCACATACCAAAAGAAATTGAGAAGACACAGAACGTTACTGCTTTATATTATCACTTCCAGAATCTACTACCCAGCATAACCAGTTCCTATTTAGGTGGTTACACTGACCAAGCTGGCTCAAAGATTATGGGAGTTATAGTCAAAAAAGTAAGCTTTCTAGAATGGGATAAAGAGGAAAGTATTCACATGAA